AATCGCGGAGATTCTCTGGATCGATGCCAGCCATACCTGCCACACAAGCCCTCAAACGCCGTATTTGATGTTACAAGGGTGACATGAGGGCCACATATGTCCAATCTCCTAAAATAGCCCAACGTAAGCATGCAAGTCCGTGCATATCGACCAGTCGTACAATGTCGCAGTGGATGGATGATGATAGCCGCACTACTGGTAGCGCCCCCTCGTCAGCGCACAGCCACCATCAAAGTGGATTGAATGATTGGGACACTGTTAAAGCTCCATTGCTCCATTCGTCTCAGATGCTCATACTGTATGCCTTCACACAACGCTCGTGTAGTTCAAGTTTGTTCGCTCCCCATTGCGAAGACGGGTGGTGGTCGGGTTGATGCGTAGGTTGCATGCGAAAGTGGGGGACGTAAGCGACTTCCACACTCATGGCACCACGAACAAACACTTAATGAAAGGGCTCCAGCTCATGGAGGGGAGACGACGCCCCGTCCACCAACGAAATTGCGCCGTGCGGGATGGCAAGTAGAAATGGATCGTTTCAATGGCACCGTCGAAACTGACCACCACCTTCAACACACGAACGACATCATTGCACGCACGCGCCAGCACCCATGATCTGAATGAAGGTTTCGTTGGGGCATTCCTTCATTCCCTCGGAATGTTCCATCCTCGGTCGTTCGTGGGTGCCGTCGAACTTCAGCTCCTCCTTGGGCGGCACTTCCCTTTTCCTGTGTGTCCATACGCTCTGGAGGCAGTTACGTCGTCGTTGCATCAAGTGAAACCGACTATTCCAAGTCTCACCAAATTGCGTTCATGTTTTCGTTCTGGTCTGAAAATTCAACAAGGATAATTGTATTGATTGCACCGACGGAACATACTCGTCGATGGTGAGACATTCCGGACAGGTAGGGCATCTTGAGTTGTTTTACCCTTTCAAAGCACCAACACTCTGGTTCCTCTGAGCACCCTTGAGCCAATCGGAGGCCGCAGCGTGGGTTTTCCAGCATTATGATTGGTGGAATAACTTGAAGTTTCTCTCTCGCTTGGGGTTGCCCATGGGAGCGCAACGTCGACAAGATCGACTCGTTCAGAGGAAAGGTCAGCATCATTTGTTCAATTGCCCACGTCGACATGAAGCCCTTCGCTCCACTTATCTCGCTGCACTCGCGCCAACGTCGGTGTGCTCCCTCCGCGACAGACGATGGTTTGGTGAAGCCCTCCCGTGCCAGGCGACCACCCCCCGGTACAATTAAGTCCCAGATAAGCCGACTCGACCTTTTCTAACTGCTTCCCAACGCAGGAGCATATCCACGAGCTCGTGGACAACATCGCGATCAATATTGTGTTTAAAGTTCCCGTCTCGACAACATTCGAATGCAGCGTGAAATGCACATACAAAGTCGCATCAGTGAAGGCCATGGACGGAAAGGATTCTACTCTCGGAGCATACAGCATTCCCGCGAGTGAGCCGTCGGGTCATCCAACATTTTCGGTATTGCCTCGACCATGGATGCCGCCTTGTCCAACGCGTTGTGCCCTGCCGACGCATATGAAGTCTACTTGGTCCCAATCATCAACATCGACGGGTACCTTCGCACGAACGGCGATCAATGCCAACGCCAAAGTGCCAACGGCGTCGATTTAACCCGCAACTGGCCATCCCCGTACTGGAATTATGACAATTCATCTTCCGGCAGCAAAAAGACCGGGATCCTTCAGATCGAACCGCAACGACTGCATGGCTCAAGAGCGAAGGCAGTGCGCAGATCGATACTGTCGTGAATATCCACTCGAACGCAACTGTGGTGTTGTAGCTGTACGGAGACAGCCAAGACCCTCTGTCTGACGACTACAAGAGGCGCTTCGTAGCGTGAGCTAAGACGTGATCGGCTCGCTGGGCGCTGCGGGGGGCTCGTAGGACCAGCGGCCTCAAACGAAGGGTCGTACGGCACGTTCCGCGACCATGGCTTTCGCATGCACAGCAAGGCATCGATCTGCATGCTAGTCTAAGGCGAAGGCTCTTTCGTCCGTGTCAGCGCTATCCGTCAGCGAGGGAAGGAGCTGCATGCCGCACCCAAGTCGTTTTCCACCGCGTCGCGGATGTTTGACAAAAGCTAGCAGCGAACTACAGCTCTCACTCCAAGTCCGCCGTGCCCCCACGACGTGTTTGGTCCCACCACGAGCATGACATCCCGTCACTACAAAGCACACGACAACCCGCGAGTTCCCCACCACCAGAGCCCCTCCAGCTGAGCCGACTCCTTTTCGCACTCGTGATTCCCCTCATCATTATCCATGTGCCCACGGACTTGTGCCTTCATCGGTGCATCTAACATGAGAGCCCTCCTCGCTGCATACCACAATGGACTACGCACGGTACATGTTGTGACGGGTTTGCAACCCAAACCTGCGACGCTGATGGCGTCAGCCAGCCCCAACTCCTCCCCCGCTCTCTACGATCGATCGGTTTAAGCACCACCGGATGCACATTGTCCATCTGCGTTGAATTCCAGACTCAGAACGAATCAAGCAATCGTTCTCGCGTGCTTCAGCATTCAACCATAGAGCGAAATCGAGCAGACCGATGGAAATGCCGCCATTAGTCGGTTTTGTTTTTCCCGTCGACCTTCTTCTGGTCGGCATTCGCGCGGTGCAGGAGCTCTTCGGCTTCGTGGAGCCGCTCGCGGGGCACTTGGTACTCTTCATCGCCCATGCAGTAGTCGAGCAGGGCGACAAGGAGCGCCACGATCAACGCTAGGACGAGGATTCCTGCCAAAACAGCCCAGATCGTGTGTTCGACTGCCCATTCCTGCACACCGAAACTTGAGATTAGATGCCACGACTGCACAAAATCACGGACCAAGAGTGTGTCGACGAATTGACCCACAAACGACTCGTTGGGGATGCCACCAGTCGACTCGACCTTCTTGTACCCCGACGAGACAAACTCGTGGAAGCTACGACATCACAAGCAAGGGTGACGACTGATCGGGGTGCGATGAAGCATCCTACCCTTCCAGGGATCGCGCGCCTTCGTAAGGATACACTTGGCCATCGCGAACGTAAAACAAGCTCGGGTAGCCATTGACGCTGAAGCGTGAGCACACTCGACGATATTTTGTGCAATCGATCTAGCCTCCGACATGTGGGTAACGAATTGCTAGCGGAAATCAAAGCACGCCACGGACCTTGCCAACGCGCGTTGGATCATTCTTTGCGTTCAATTCAGCGCTGAGTTTATCCCACACGGGAGCCTACGCAATGGACTCAATCAATGCTTTTCTCTTGGGGGGAACGGACGCACCAGGCGCTTGCAGTGACCGCACCATGGAGCGTAAAACTTAAGCAACCACGGCGCCGACTTTTCATGGACGTGTTCGTCGAACGACGTGGAAGACAACGTGACGACCATGCTGGCCTTTTCGGCGTCAATGAGCTCCTGCTCCTCTCGCTTGGTTTTTTCCTCTGGAAAGGTCGCGTCGGTCAGATACAGTATTGACCAAGGAGCAATAGCGTAGCATTACGTACGGAATTGCGCAAGAGTCAAGACGTCCTCGCCAAGGGACGACTACGCATGCTAAGAGTGAGGTTGGAGCTCGATGCAAGTCGAATGGTAACCTTGTACCCTCCAAGGGCAAACTCCACCATCGCACTACGGTCACGCTGTCCAACATAGTCAAACGAAAGTTTTTCCGTCACGACTTTCAGTGTCGGGTACGATTTGACGTCGAAGCGTTGGCAAACGGTCTTTTCGACGGTGCAGTCGACTTTGCCAATGTGGACATCCTTTCCCTGGATCAAATTGAGCCCCCACCTTGGTTGGTATCCAACGCGAGCGTAGTTGTATCCCACCTTTAGAGCTTCATCCGATGTCAGCTTGTCGAAGACAGGGGCAAGAGATTTGCAATGGCCGCACCACGGGGCGTAGAACTTGACGAGCCACACACCACCGCTGGACGTGCGAGCGTCAAACGTGTCTTCAGTGAGCACTTCAGCACCTCCACCCGCATAAGCAGGCGAAGGCAGGATCGCCGCGATCAGGCACAACGCCGAAGCAAGGAAGCGGGCCATCAGTCACTGCCGTTCACACAAATATCGATGTGGATGCCAAAAAGATTTGCGCTTTTTTAAATCGAATTGAAATTTTACTTGAATACTGTAAATACCATGGCAATGTATAGGTTATTCTCGCTCTAATATTCAGAAAAATAATTCGATTCTTTGCTTCACACCTATCCGAAGAAGGCGAAATATAGCTACCAGAGTAGGTCAAGATGGTCCGCCTTCACGATTACTCTTGACAGGAACTTGATCTCTCGGGAACAGTCGTGAGGTTGCTAAGGAACTGCTAGGGGCTTCTTCGTAGGACAAACCCTGACATTCAAGAGAAACTTTTGTCGACGAATTGTATAATTTCGTATAATTTCGTCGTTGAGATAGTATACAATAGTTAATACTTACGAAACAGAAT